TAGGTCGAGGCTTGCCTGGTGTACACGGCACGGTTACAGGGAGTGAAGGAACAGCGCGATGGATTTAGTCAGTAAGAGCACAAGCGTCCGGCAAATTGTCCCAACGATGTGGGAAGCTCATGAGGCCAAAAAAGGTACAACGCACTTGTAACGCCTTAATTATTGCATGGGTCTATGGAAATCACCGTTTACCATCAGATGATCCATTAGTTCTCTACTCGTTTTTCACCCTATCCCATTATCATATAGGTACTTCTTTAACTTCCATCACATTCAGTGGTTATTGCTAAGCGTACTTAAAATTTAAACTTTAAAATAGTTAATAGTCCTGGCTGCGGTGATTAGCTCAAGTGTCACTGACCTAACTAAGGAGGAATACAACACATCTGGCTAAGTGTTTCAGTAACATTGTTTAAATTGTTTGCAATATTCGCTTCCAGCTTCCTTCCTCACCAGAATAAGTAATTTAAATATATTGAGACTATAGAATATTACTTATAGTTAGTTTTGTCAGATGTTCGGGTAGGTAAAGAAAACTATCTGCTTAATACTTAATTAAGTTTTAATATATAATCTAGATGTCTACAAATGATATAAGAAAGATTGAGCTAATAAAAAGTAGGCTTAATTGCAGGTAGATACTTTTTTATATTTAGATCCAGGTGCTTTCAGTTATTCATTTCTCCATATTTTTTTTTATCACATTAATATTATCAATTTGATCGTTTCTTTGTTTGGGTGTCTAGATGTTTGGATGGTTGTCCGTCAATCCGGCTGAAACCTGAACGGATTTTAATAACATTTCGTACACATGTATATAAGGGCTGACTTAGGTAATAGGATACTTTTTATCCCGATTAAACGCATATTTCACGCGGACGAAGTCGCAGGCAACAGGTCCATATACTCAAACCATTTCCTGTCTGTTCAGCAGCTGTACCTTAACTCGTCGAGTACCGTCATTATAGACACAATTATAGAACAATAGGTTGCGGTCACCGGTGACCGCTTGGTGTTTGACAGTTTAATGCCATTTAGCGCTTGTCTACATGTAGAATAGAAAACCAAATTATATGGAATTGATGTAAATGTTGACACTTGTAAGTGTCATCTCCATATATTTTGATTTCTACTCTCTCTGTAGAGAAGCGCTTAAGTGGCGTTTGGCTAAAGGTCCAGCAGCTGTAGCCAAATGCCATTCAGCGCTTGTCTACATGTAGAATAGAAAACCAAATTATATGGAATTAACGTAAATTTTGACACTTGTCCGTGTCATCCCCATACATTTAGTTTTCTACTGTCTATCTGTAGACAAGCGCTAAAGTGGCGTTTGGCTAAAGGCCCAGGTTTGATCGTACCTCAAATAAAAGACAAACGAATTATAGAATCTTATCTTTAATTGAGCATTAAAATTAACGACAGCAACTGTCTCTTATAATAAAAAACAAGATGTCTGGACATCTTAAAAAAAAAATGAGCAAATAAGAGATCTCAAAACGGGAAATACTTATGTAATCCTAACACGAGATTCTTTGGAAAGCATGCATTTGTACATTTTTTAGGAATAACTTAAAATTACTCGACATTATACGTACTTATAATTAACTACATATATCGATCGATCCTAAATCATTAAACTAATGGTCCATATTTACTTAAGAAATAAGATAGTTTTTTGTAAATCTCATATCTACTAATCTAATGTATTTTACAATATCTTACATTATAATTGAGCAAATATAGGTGCAAATGGAACATTTTCTTATAATCTAAGCATTTATAATAGGTACATCGTAAAATCTAGTTCGTTTTCGTCGTGCGACAAACAATTTGGTCATGAAGAGTACTATCGATGTATAAAGTAAAAACAAAAAATAAAGATGTATTTTTTTAGTTTAAAACAGAAATTTATGGAAATGTAAAATTTATGGAAAATACGCACATGAAACAATCGTAAAGGGCATTGACTAAAATTGGTGCCTTTCTTTTTTCTGGCGGCAGTCGATGATTTATGGAAAATATTATCTAGAATGACATTACAAATGAAATTGTGTATGGGCTCATATATGGAAATCTCAGTCTGGACTGAGTTATGAGCGTCGAAAAGAGCTTAAGTCAAACATTTTACTTTGTTTTTTTTATTCAAATTATTCATATTTTTGTCACAATTCCTAACTTCAAATTGCGCGCCACTGTACGCCGGGCACAGGAACACCATATCACACCACAATATATCCATATTGCCAGGCACTAATTTTTATTTGCTATTTTCTCTCAGTCGATAATTTGTGGGATGCTTCTAGGAGTTGTGTCATGAAGCTCCGTGAGCGTCAGCTGAGGTACCAGCGGTGGGTTGAGTAGTGGTAGCCGTCCAAAAATCTAACAAAAGTTTTTTTTTGCCGTTGACTCCTGGTGGTAGACTCATCTACTTTATAGTTAGTATAATATTTTGAAGAAAGGAAACCGTCGACTTTGTAAAGTGATGGACTATACGTCAGATGAGCGCATAATTTTTTCATATAATGTGATCAGTCGAAATATAATCCATCACTTTGTGACTGAACGACGATATCTTTGTACAGAATCTTATGCTAGATGTAGATTAAAGTATTAACTGTAGTTGGATTAGTTACTAATCGGAAGTAAGTCGGGAGAAGTAGACAGAAAAATAATTTTTTTCGTGTATCCGCTACCGACGCCTCAGTTGACGAACATAGCATTTCATGTTAAGGCTCAGTAAAGTATTTTGCGGGTTTTCGACTGAGAGGAAATTGATCATGAAAATCTGTCATAGGCCTTAAACCGTATATATACCATACCGTATATATATATATATAATTTGCTAGCCGATCAAGCGAAATGTTTTTTTTTATTTCAGCAGTGGCCAGTTAATGGTTCACTCTATTCTGATTCCTTGGCCTTATAACAAAAAAAAAAAAACAAAAAATAACAAAAAAAAAAATAAGTCCACAACAAGCTTTACTATATTCATTGAAATCGTTTATAAACATTTATTACAAAATATTTCTGACAATTAGTAAATGAAGAAATATGTGTTGTGTACGGTCACCATCAACAAAATAACAGGAATAATATACCACTATTTTCACATCTTTGAACTGACATAACTCGGTTCAGACTGTGTTTTTGATATAAGACCCCATATATTTTTTTGTTTGTAATGTTATTCTGCATCAGTTTATCCACATTTGATCAACTGCCGCGAAAAAATTAAAAGGCACCACGCTCCATACAAATTTGGTCATTGTCATTTGTAGGCACTATTCGCATCGCACGTGCCACCCTACGAGAAATATATGGCGTGATGGTTTGATAATGTAGTAGGTAATGGGATCGTATGCACTTTTGAAGTTTGTTTTTGGCACTAGTTCAATAGTTATTTTTTGTTTTAATCATTTCTGTTTTGTGTTACCAAGACCGAACCATTTTACTTTGGGATAAAAACGAAATAGATATCACGGTGTATAATTTTAAGTAAAAATTAGATATGTAACTAACATAATAAAATATTTAAGTCGTATATTAAAGAGATCCAAGTAATCATTTATAGTAAATTCACATAATATTGGAAGATTATTATTTTAAAAATAAAACTTAGATGTTTTTAAAACTAAGGCCTTAACGAAGCCAATTTCATGTATTTACTTAGAAATACATAAGACATTGTCTAAATTACTAATTCACAATGTCGTGATGGCCCGGAGGTATAAGACGCCCGCTTCTCATGCATGGGAGTGCGGTTTCAAAATCTACTAACGACAAGTACCAATATGACTTTTTCCGAGTTATATGTACTTTCTAAGATTATCTAGACACCACTGAAGAAAAACATCGTTACAAAACCTGGGCTTATAATTTCTAATTATAAGTTTGAATCACCAACCCGCATTAAGCAAGCGTGGTGATTAATGCTCAAACCTTCTCCGTGTGAGATGAGGCCTTTAGTCAGCAGTGGCCACCTATAGGCCTAGTTGATGTTATTCTTATAGCTGATAATGTTGTAATTCACGAGGCCAAAGCAGTAGATAAAATTTTGTCGAATATAATTTGGTTGTTGCTATGTTTAACAAGTCATAACATCACTATCTGAATTTATACCGTCCAGACATTTAATCTACAATAATTAACAACTAATAATAAAGATTAATTTAGTTTAGTGTTCTATCAAAATTAGTTTCTTATTTCTAGTTTTTTCGTGTTTACAACACTAGAAAAATGCGTTAGATACAAGCACTTAAAATTAAAAAAAATTGAGCCAATCATGTTCCTTCAGTCTTTTGAACCATAACCTTTAACAGTACTTACTTAAAGTTTAATTTTGTTAAACTAAATATTATAATCAAAGATATAAAACCTAAAAATGTCTGAAGTCTTAATTTTGAGCATCGTTATTTTAGCTTTAAATTTGTACATAGATGTCATAAATATGGATAGTGCAATCCAACTTATGGCAGATTATTTTTTTATAATGTCTGCATATATCCCGGGCGACCATTGAACTCCAGAACGGGACAACTATTTGATTTATATACTGCAGTTAAATAATGTGCTTGTGGTGTGTTTGTACACTCTCATGACGCGAAATAATCCTAATAGTCCAATGTTTGAGTAAGGAGCAAAAAATAATGTTAATTAACCACTGAAAATCAGAGCTGGGTGACTCGTATGCCTAGCTTACACTCAGTGGGTAACCCATTAAGCATAGGCATGTTGTTGGCGTCTCTTTTCTGATTCTTCTGTTTTAATTTTTAACTCAACGTTTATCTTGCTTCCACTGTCGCACCTTTATTGTCGTTTTTATATTTTACTAGCGACAATATGCATGTTTTATACATATAAACCTTCCTTAAGAATCACTCTATCAATTAAAAAAAACCGCATCAAAATCTGTTGCGTAGTTTTAAAGATCTAAGCATACATAGGGACTGACAGACGGCGGATAGACTTTGTTTTATACTATGTAGTGATTTATGCTGCATCGTGCCTGGTGCTGAATAAATGTTATTTTTTTCTTTCTTTTAAGATTTCAGTGCACTTTGCCAAAATCATAAAGTTTCTACAATTTCTGCAACCTCGGTACGGTCAGTTTATCTCTTATGCATCGTAGTGTAGTCAGCTTAGCAGGTGAGCTGGGTACCGTCTGTTCCTGGTCCGGCTTCCTTATCGGTCGTGATGCTGGTACACACGTGCGAGGTACGTTCGTGATGTGAGGGTGTGTCTTCACGTGCTTCCGAAGAGAGGAGGGGTCTGTGTACCTCTTGCCGCAACCGATAGCACCGCAGGCATAGGGTCTCTGAAATATTCATGTCGTATTAATATGTATGTACGCATTTAAAAATCTGTGTAACTAAGAAGGTTTTTGCAAAATATTTATCTTTTGACACTTTTGATTTTGAGGCCAATGATAATAAACAATTTAGATTTTTGTTTATGCTTAGGCTTATCAATCAAGGGTGGTTTAAAATTGAAAAAGGAATCCTGGTCTGTCATCTTAGGCAAGTGCAAGTATATTAAACACGCCTCCAGTACATATCTTTCCAGTGGCACATTGGTTGGCCTACCGCGATCGGTCGGTATCCAACGGGAAGTCCGAGATATGCTTTCATTACATTCCTATCTTTTGACAAAGCCTAGCCAACGGAGTACTCTTACTGAACTCTTTCTCTTCGCCAACGGTGAAATGTATTAATAAATGAAATACTCACAGCGTTGAAATGTGTCCTCTGATGTTTCGCTCTATCTGAAGAGTTAGAAAAGGCTTTTCTGCAGTGTGGAGCAGGACATGCGTATGGACGTTCACCAGTATGAGATCTCACGTGGATCTTTAAATTTTCCAATCTTGAGAACGCTTTACCACAGCCTGGATGCTGGAATATAAGGAAACTTATTAATATTTAGCGTAAAGATGAAAATTTCGAAGGTGTAAGTAGATAGAGGTTCTTAGTAGATAGAAAGTCTTACGCCCCTCTTCGCCAATGATTCTCATGTAAGCTACCATATTTTACTAATAATTCTTTAAAGCCGAAAAATCGATCCATTATAAATTTGGCAGTAAACTTCCAATAACTCAACTATAGAAGAGTATGTGTACCTATATTAAACCTCAGTTCTCGGTGATGAACAAGAATATGCAGTCTGAACTTTCTAAGTATTTAACATTATTCTGTTACTTACATGACACCTGTTAGGCTTATGTCCTGAATGTACGCGCATGTGTATCAGAAGCTTGTAACGCGCATTAAATGGCCGCCGTTCGCGCGCACAGTCGCGCCATAGACAGCTGAATTCATCACCTAGAAGAAAAAATGTTCAATGATACTTTTCATGTTTAACCCTTTGAGTACCATCATTATAGACACAATTAAAGAACAATAGGTGTGCGGACACCGGACAGTTAACGATTAACGGGGAGTAAAGAATTTGGCATACATAAATATAATTCTATATTCCGTGAGTATTATCTGATCTTTTTAATATAATAGAACTTACTAGAACTTTATTTTTTTTTAATATGTCGCCATTACACTAGGATTTTCTCTGTGTTGTGGGTGCGTTTACAAACATACAATTTCACATAGGTACACATTACTCCCAGATCCGGAACAACAATCTGTGTATCACACAAAGAGTTGTTCCATGCGGGAATCGAACCCACATCCGCTTGCCCAACCACCGCGCCAGTCTCAATCGTCACAGTCACAGTCGCACCAATTGTAACGTTATGACATTTAATTTCATGAAACATATGTAACAATGCATTAAGCTTTTCTAAATTGTCAAGCTTTTTTAAAGGGTTTTCGTTTTTATACCAAAACAATAAAGTTGATAATTGATGGTTTGGCGTCAGTACCCATTATGAACACAAATATTAATATAAAATAACATTGAACCCTACCTTTGTATGTGTTGACATGTGCCCTCTCGATGTGTTCTACGAGTGTAGTTTGGTTTGGATATCTCTCATAACATTGCTCCCATAAACACACCCTTTCACCTGTAACGTAAATTACTTTAATTATTGATGAACCTAATAATATTCAATTGCTTTTGTTTTTAGTCTACATGGTGACTGCCTCATTAACCGAGCGGTCGCAAGTGCGACTGCTATATGGCAATAGGCCCACCCCCTATTACATGGGACTCATAACATAAATAGTGAAAAGTGGGTGTTACATTATACAGTGGGATTAAGTGCTGTAGTATGCACCACTGTGTACCCCTTCGGGGATAAAAGGCGTGATGTTATGTATAATTACAAAAATTATCTTACCTTGAACCTTATCTTTATCATTCTTCCTAGAAGCCTGGATTTTAGTATTTTCAACATTATTCACGTTGGCATCTGTCTCATAGTTTAAACCGAAATCGTCTAAATTAACAAATAGATCATCTTCATCAAAATTTTCCGAATTTTCATCATAGTAACTTGAACTGTGAACATCGCTTTCAACTGACTCCGAAACTGAAATCTTCCTTTCATTTCTGTCAAAACTGAATTCGTTACAGCTTGTTGGAGTATCAGGGAGTACGTATTTTCTTTCTTCTAGGTTATAAAGTATGTTGTTTGGATAACTATAATGTTCTAGACTATTTACAGATCCAACAGTTTGTTGGACAGGAGTAACACTGTTGAACCCTGGCATTTGGGCATCATCAACAGTAAAATTACAGTACCTCTTGGAAAACACTGTATCTATTGACGGTAAAAGATTCTTATCTGGCGTATTCGCGTTTAAATAATCTTCATTAAAATCCGGCGTCAATCTGCAAGATTCGCCATCTTCTCTGCATAATTCATCAATCAGTGATTCATCATCTATGTAGTCGTTATTTGCTTCATACATTTTATTCTCTTGTCCCTTATACATATCCATTTTACAATTCTTTTCGTCAAAGTCGATATTATCTAAATCTAAAAGGACGTCTTTAATATTTTGTTCATTAATATTGCTATCTATAACTTCGTCTATAATCTCAAAATCAGCTTCGTTACTTGTCGGTGTGTTCCAACTGTCTAAAACTTCGAAATCAAAACTTTCTTCTACTCTATATTTAAAACTATCGACTTTCTTATTTTTGTTGCTATTTTCTAGTTCTAGATTAAATTGTGACATGTAATAGGCGTGTAGATCTGTAACATTGTCGTTTCTATCGTTGAACATTTCCTCTTCGTAAGAAGGTATGATATCAAATTGCGCCATCGTCTTAGGTTCATTTACCGACAAAAGTTCAGTAATCTCTATGTAGAGGTGTTGACATGTGGTGTTTACTCGTAAGTTTGCGCATGTGGTTTTGCTATTATTATAAAAATAAACTTTCTCTGTGTATGATCACGCGTGGCTCGAGCATCTGCAAATTATAAATTTAATCGTCTCTTTAGAATTATTATTTAGTTGCCACACGTGTTACTGAGCTGACTTATAGCCTATTATTATTAGAGTTAGGAAGCTCATTCGGTGATGCAAAATGGATTTTATTTTTAAATTCTGAATGGGCATCTTATTGTTTGAATCACGCAGGAAATATCGCATAAATCTTTATACAATCACGACTTTATTGCCAAATGTTGTAAAGTCTAAATTACTTGTGTTTCTCGATATTCAGAGTTCTGTAGAAACACATGGATTGAGACAGTTACTGATTGGACGATACCATGTTTTAAATAAATACTTCTTAATACAGAGTTTGAATTAGACTGCCTCTTTGGCCGATTGGTCACAAGTGCGACTACCGATTCGATTCTCGAGTCGGGCAAAGTATTACTGGCTTTTTAAAAATCTCAGTAGTAGCACGGAATCTGGAAATGTGCCTGGTATATGGCAATAGATTCACCACCTATTACATGGGACTCATAACATAAATAGTGAAAAGTGGGTGTTCAATTGTACAGTGGCATTAAGTGCCGTAATGTGCACCTCTGCCTATCCCTTCGGGGATAAAAGGCGTGATGTTATGTTATGTTGGAATTATAGAAATATCATTATTCTCATAGACTACACATCTAAGTGAAAAAGGTACTATGTATCATTATTCGTACATATAAATAAGGAATTTGTAGTTACTTTATATAATTCCTGATGATGTGATTTACGAAAATAAATCAAGGCATATTTAGTACTTAACCTTCTGTACTTTATATTTTTACCGAGAGACCAATGCGAAGAATAGGGAAGCAGCGAGATTTGTTCGCAGTTGTACTTATTTATAAATATGGCCTCGAAATATTGGCTGAACTGCTCAAAAGATAATATATAATAATTTGTATGGTGAGTTTTAAGTAAACATTTGAATATTTTTGTACTCTCTCGTTTAGAGGGGAGGGGGGAAGGCCAACTATTTTTTTTTAATGCCTATTTATGTCACGTAGGAAATCTTAGCTTAGTACCATCATATTTTAGTTTGCTTATTAGTACCTACTATTTAAAAGTTTGTAATTCCGCAACGAAAAGAAATTTAAATGTTAGAAACTACTATTTGCTCGACATGGCAACCGAACTTAAGACCTCAGAATCAGTAGTCACGCAATCGACGACTGGATATTGAAATAAGTCAAAATATAATATTTTATTTTGTTGCTATCATAACAAAATTAAAGTTAGGCGATTGTAAATATTATTATATTATAAAATATATCATTATATTCTATTATCTAATTACATCATTAATTTGAAAACAAAATTATTAGAATCAATTGTAATTAATTTAGATGTTAACTGTTTTATTGCCATATATGTAGTAATTAATGTTATCATTAATTTAATAACATACTAGCGTTTTCCATGACTTTGTATGCGTACCAAATAAGTTTTTAAGAAAATTTAGGAAATTCCGTCGATTTTTGAATTTCGCAATGTTGAGTTTTCTTTTTCCATAAAGCATTTTCTCTTTACGAACTTTCGGTATTTTGTTATATTTAATAATCTCTGGTAGCTTTCTGACAACTTAACTGACAAATACATATTTCGACTGTTCCATAATAATTTTATAAATAATATTTTAAATTACCCTATCTCATATTATGAAAAACCATTTAGCCTTTACATTGGGATGATGACAGGATATGAAAATTAAAAATCTATTTAGTCCGTAAGTTAGATAATGAAAAAATATTAGACACGTATTTTTTTATTTTGTCGTATAATAAAACAAAACTTAGATAAAACGAATTAAAGTTTAGGAGTGAAGGCTAAAACGTCATTTCTACGTATAAAATGTACATAGAAGTGACGTCACGCAACATTTCAAATCAATATATCGTCAAAAAGTTTTCGTTTCTGTAAGAAAATAAAAAAAATACGTGTCTAATTAATGATTAAAAATAATCTACCAGATGGACATTAAAATAAAAATTATGCAGTTACCGTATTACCTATCATCAGTTACAATAAAAGCAACTTCATTAGATAGTAAGCCTAGCCTTAACACACATAATTATTAAAAATAATTAAATAAAAAAAAAATTAAATAAAAAATTAAAATAAGGAAGATCTGTGTCATATCATCATTTATCATGATAATATTTCCTTAGCAAAACCACGGAAGAGTCGACGGAATATTTTATTATTTCTCACACCAGACAGACTTGTTTATATTTCTTTATCATACGTTTTGTTTTAGATAATTTATGAACCTTGATTTAGTGTTTTTATTGCCAATACTTAAGCATGTAATTAAAATTACGTACTATGATTCCTTATTGTGAATTCTGTTGAAAAGGTAATGTAAGATTGTCATCTGTTAAATATCGAGAAACACAAATAACTTAATGGAAATATTGAGAACTTAAGTTTACCATAAATCTATTTAATGTTTATCAAAATTTTTATGTGAAATAAACTATTCTCCAAATACACCAAAAAACACAAATATTACTAACACATAACAGCAAGCAATACTCACTTATATTCAAATAAAACAGCGAAAAATTTAAAAACACAAACTTCACAAAAATGGCGCGAACTGTCAAAGTGACACATAACCTAAAAATTTGTAGCGTGCGACGCGCACGAGTGAACAACACAAGAACTTTGACGGGAATAGTACGGGAGCTAACGGGATCGGGGAAAAAGTCCTTGCTGAAACCATAAGACAACATGGAGATGGTAATTTATGGAAGGACATGTGTGTCTTGTGTTACACCTTTTTTTACCGTCTTGTGTTATAAGTTAACTATTGTAGATTTTTGTAAATACTATCCATCTTTCTTTTGGTTAGTTAATATAAGCTTGTTCCCGCCCGCTTCTGATGCATTATGGTTTTTCATCGTCTTTCAGGGTTTGAAAACTACCAACAAGATGTACTTACCAATGTGACTTTTTCCAAGTTATATGTACTGTCTAGGATTATTTAGACATTACTGACAAGCGGTGACAGAAAAAATCGTGAGGAAACCTGGATTTATGACTTCTAATTATAATTATTTGTAATCGCCAACCGTGGTGCATAATGCGTGCGTGGTGATTAATGCTAAAACCTTCTCCGTGTAACACGGCATAAGTCAGTAATAGTGGCCAGCTGTGTAACAAGAACACGGCTTCGGTCAGAAGTAGTGGCCACTTATAGGCTGTTGATGGGATACTAAACTTTGTTACATTTCTAATGAAGAAATTCAGTAACTTAATCCAACTGAAACACGAAATCATCTTCGCTCATGCACTATTTAGTTGCTCTAAATCAACGTAACAACATGTGTTCTCAAAGTACCAACTTTACCTTCCATCTATACATTTTAAAACAATGTAACCTACGTTCTTATGTCCATAAACATAGGGTTCATTATCGTTTAACTATAGACAGGATTTAGGAAAGCATTTAAAGTTGTGTTTCACCGTCTTTTGGCGCCAAGAATTTTTATTGATTTAGTTGTCAATTTAAAATATTTTATTGACTGAAACAACAAAAAATATTGTCTTCAGTTAAATTAAATTTAGGTACACAAAATTATACATATTGGTACATAAGGTAGATCAGAAAAAAGTACATAAATATGGGAAATAGGTTTGTCCTGAGATACCGGAAAGAAGAGAAATAGGTAAAGAGATTGATGATTTCTTTATTTTGGACTCCCCTGGTGTTGCGGTCGTCCATGGGTGGCGCTGATCGCTTACCATCAGGTGATCTATTTGCTCGTTTACCGGCTTATACAATAACAAAAAAGATCGGCGTTTGGCTTTTATCCTCCCTGCTGTTAAGCGATGATTCGGCTTACAATGAAGCACGCCTGCTTGCAACCAATTAACTCGGGTCTTGAACATACCGAGGTACTGTAATAAGCTTCAAGTTAGTTTTCATGTAGTTTCCAATCCTTCTAATCTTTTGCTAAAGTGGTTTATTTCTTAAGATAACTTTATTGGACCAGTTCACCAGCTCACCAGCCGATCTGTTCCAGCAGATCAACCGGTCTGGTGAACCGTTTTCTAACTGACTAAAAACCACCCCGTTCCTACTTCTACTCTTCGAGCCAGAACCCCGGCTACCCATTAAGTCCTTCACGGCTCCTTATCGGCATCAGTCGTATTAGGCCCCATCTTTGGTGGTCTCATGGCTCTTTGAGGGGAGCGCGGTACGCGACACGCTCGCACGCATAGAGACTAAGAGACAGCACTTTGTGATAAACCTGAACCAATTTAAGTCCTCCGCGGCTCCGTAGTACATATATTCACCTTTTTTTTAAGGGGGGGAAATCATCAAATGACTTTTCCCGCCTGGTTGAGGCGGGAGGGAGTGTCAGACTCTTACTGACTAAAAACCATACCGTTCCTACTCCTGCACTACAAGCCGGAGCCCCGGTAACCCGTTAGGTTCTCCGCGACACATATATTCACCCTACCAGAAGATGTTGATCATCGAAATTGACAGTTGTACAAACACAATTGATACTGTTTGCTTATGACAAACGAAAACCAATAGCAAAGCTACAACTTTGGTCTAAAAAATGCCTAGGATACCAATTTCTTTCAAGTGAAGTATAAGTTCTAATCTTCGTAACTGGAATTGTTTTTCCAAAAAACAAGACCGTATCAAAATATCATAGTCATTTTGTTTTTCAAAAGTTGTGGAAAAATACGTAAGAACAATAATTATCAGGTAGGTAATTAAAGAAATTAGAATATACAAAGTGTTGTTTAAGGTTATCGGCAGAGGTTATCAGGCAGGCTGTAGGGGACACCAGATAAAAATACTAGACATGGTACGTAGGCATATCTACTCTTACCGTCTCATGTCCAAATAAAACTGCTAACTTAGATAACTATAATTTTAAGTGTGGGAGAGCCATGTTTCGGCACGAATTGGCCGGCCCGACCGGAGTGACACCACGGCCTTACAGAAAAATGACGTGAAACAACGCTTGCGTTGTGTTTCGTTGTATGAGTGGGGTTACCGGAGGCCCAATTACCCACCATCCCCAGTCTACCCAAACAACAACAATCCTCAAATTCACAAAAGGCCGGTAACGCACTTGTAAAGCCTTGGTGACTGGTGTTTTAGGTCCGTGAGATGCCGTCCGTCTGCTCAATTACCGGCTTATGCCATAAAAATATTTATCAATGCACGTGATATTTGTTGATACTTCATCATCATCATCAACAGCCTATAAATGCCCACTGCTGAGCAAAGCCTCTTCTCACACGGAGAAGGTTAGAGCATTAATCACCACGCTTGCTCAATGCGGGTTGGCGATTTCAAACTTATAATTAGAAATTATAAGTTCAGGTTTCCTCACGATGTTTTTCCTTCACCGTTTGTCAGTGGTGTCTAAATAATCTTAGAAAGTACATATAACTCGGAAAAAGTCACATTGGTACTTGCCGTTGGTAGGTTTCGAACCCGCACCCTCATGCATGAGAAGTGGGCGTCTTAAACCTCCGGGCCACCACGACATCATGTTGATACTTATTGTATAAAAAATATGCAAAAGTATTAAATATGAATGCTTGAATGTATTTTGGCTCCAATAAATCGTCTTCATCCATATTTTTATTTTTATTAACTTCTTACTTAACACAAATTTAAACGTATAAAAAGGAGTTTCGCACCGATAACGAGAAGAATCCATGCTACCGTCATAGGTATGTGTGACATTAGGACACGCAGCGTGTCCGAAAATACAGCTACTAGATATAGGGCAGTATTCTGCTCTTTAGGTATTTTTTTAAGGGGGTAAAATCATCTAATTACTTCTCCCGCCTGGGTGAGACGGAAGGGAGTGTCAGACTCTTACTGACTAAATACCACCCCGTTCCTACTCCTGCACTTCGAGCCGGAGCCCCGGTAACCCGTTAGGTTCTCCACAGTACAGTGTATTAAGTGCCGTAATGTAGGTACGCCTCTAACTACCCCTTCGAGCATACAAGGCGTGATGTTATGTTATGTCAATCATATCTATTTGCCATCAAGCAGCAACTACAGAGCTTCATTAATTCCCTTCTGAAACTGGGCGAGTCTATTGCCAAACTCCGGATATTTACGTTGACGGCACATCGTAAAAAAAAACAAAAGAGATAACTTATTCTGTTTCTATGTCCACGAACTGTAACAAGATTACAGACGCAAATTTTGATGAAGCACGCGCAACTTAGTGTCCTTGGCAACTAAACTTTGGAAGATTTTGGAAAAAATATACCTACTGTTGAGTAAGAGTACAATGTCAAAAAAACGTATGTACGTATCGAGTCAAAATGATAACTCCTAGGGGTCGGTCAATCGATATGATTGCTCAACTAACATGTTTAACATTCAGACATTTTGATTTTTAACGAAATAAAGGTCAGAAGTTACTCAAAACGTTTTTACAGAATATGAAATAATAGATAGGTTCACATGAAAAATTCTAGATATATTTGCAGACAATAACCATGTATTTATAATAGTGGTTGTGCATGATTTCTAGTTAAGTCAATCGTAAATGGGATTGCAAAGCGTCGGATCTCGGATTTGATTTCTTTTTTTATGGAATAAGCCAGTAAACGCGCGGATGGATCACCTGATGTTAAGCAATCGGCGTCGACACGTGGAACAGTAGAGGCGTTACAAGTGCGATACCGAACTGAACCTTTTAGGGATTAGGAATTTGATGAATGTCGGGGATTCAGGGATTAGGGAGATTGGGGAAGGGGGATTGTTGGGCCTCCAATAACCTCATTCACACGACCTTGAGGCCTTGGTATCACTCCGGTCGAGCCGGCTGGTTTCATACCGAAGCATGGCTCTCCCACACTTGAAATTTGTTTGTTGATACTTTGTTCTTTGGCGTTTAGTGACTGATTCACCACTATTGTGTAGCTTCAGTGCCTGACAGTAGATACTATTACTAACTAGCTTCTACCCGCGACTTCGTACACGCAATCCCGTTTTCTCCCGTCCCCTAGGATTTTCAGGATTTTTTTCTGTCATAAGAACCTTCTCCTGACAATAACAAACACAACAAAATAAAATCAGCCAAATCGGTCTAGCCGTTCTCAAGTTATGGCGTGACAACGGGAATCGGGTTTCATTTTTATATATTTGTATATTATATAAATTAAATGGTAGTCTATCCAGATACATTAATTAGGTAGTAAAATGTCGGAATACTGAAACGTTACTAAATTTTAAGTCGCGCTGAAGTATAGTTCTATCTCTACAAATTCTTTATGAAATGACAGAGACGGCACAATATTTGAGCACGACTTAAAATTGAGTAACGTTTCAGTATTCGGGCATAAGTCTCTTTTTGAAAATATAATTCATAATAATTCTTAAGTTTTACCACCTTAACCAACCGTTGCCTACACTATTTGCAACTAATTACTCTTTCAACAATAAATAGGTTCATTAAATTATAATAATATTTTGTCGAAATTGCTCATAAAGTCTTAAACCCTCACGTAAATGTTGCTTCTTAATTTTAATCCTCAAACTCGTAAAAGGATGGGCCCAAAAAAATGAGACTCCTGTAAAATTAACACAAATGGATCGTGAAAGCCGCCGAAGACATAATGACGGCCCTCGTCAAGCATTTTTTTTTAAGTCGTATCTTGT